TATTTTATTCCTTTTACATTTTATTTCAAAATTTTATATAAAAAGTGATTAAAAATAATTATAAAAATAATCATATTATATATATATATAATAAAAAATTTTAATGAATAGTATTAGTTCTTGACATGTAGTCAAATTTTCGAAGTTAATGTAATTGATAATCTCAGTAATAGACGTTTAAATAAAATAAAAATCACTTATCTTTGTGTACTTATCCTGTTTAATATTTTTTCTATAATTTAAATCATGTATCTATTAAAATTCCTTTAATGTCTCTTTTCGCGCAAAACACTGTTATTCCAACCTAACATATCTTTATTAATTAATGGATCTCAATCTAAGCAAATATCTCCTTGTCACAAAACTTAAAAGTCTATGATTTAAGGCCGTGATTATGACGATTTGAAGGCGACAGACTAAAATTTTGGGTGTTATGTTGTACGTTTAACCAGCTTCTCTGTTTCATAGCAATATATTTGCCATCAACTTTATCTCTAAAACCAAACTCCCAGCTAGTTTTCCTCCAAAACGTTTGAAAAATTAAGCCTTGCCAAGAAAGATTAGTCAGCTACTGCTATTTAATTAATGCCTTTGATAGGTGATTGGCCTGGCAACAAACACCCAAAACCAAACCCCTGCCTTCACCTTGCTTTAAGATTGTAATCTTGTTAGTTATATTAAGATTTCAATACTTCAATAATGCAAAGGCCAAAACAAGCTGAAACATTAAGGAAAAAGGCCAAACCAACAGGCAAGAAGTTTCCTGTTTAAGGAATTAAAACACTGGGTTTTCACATGGTGTGCTTTCACCTAACTCTCGTGCTTTGGTACCAAGAAAAAGTACAGTTGTAACAGCGGACCAGCCAAAGAGACCGGCCATGGTGGTCGGCTCCAAACATAATCATAAACTTCAGTTTCTGCACTAGTTCTGATTTTTCCATGTTCTTTGGCTTAATACTTGGTTCTTACTTTATCTGCACCCTTGGAAACTGGGATTTTAAGTTAAAATTGTTTGGTTTCGATCTTCTACAAAGGAAAATGTTCTGATCCTTTCTTAATCATATGTCAACGTTAAACCCAGAAAGAAAAATGCTTAATCTGCATTTCATTAATCCGAAAATGGGTCTTGAACTGTTTCATTAGTTTGTCCTCTTTGAGACTTTGACTTATGTAGCTCATGCTGAGCTGATTGCATTATCCAAAAGTTTCTACATTCAAAGGAGAATTTAAAACATGCATGCAGAGTCAATGTTGAGTTTTTCTTGCAGACAAGAAGAAAAAGATTTTAGAGAATGACAAGATTCTTTTGACTTCATGTTTGGAAGAAATTCATCACCTGGTATTCTGTTCACACCAAAATTGTAGAGGAAGTCAACATTGGGGTCAGGGTCATCATGGAAGATCTACTGAAAACAGGGGAAACAACCGGTAATCGTGTCCTTTAGTTTTCCAAGCCAAGACTAACAATGTCGGTTGGTGAAAGAAACAAGCAGACATGACACACAAGGAAAGAAATTCTGTAAAGATTCAGGAACAATGGTACTGGTGATAGGCTTCTAAGCACAAATATAAATTGAATTCAACTTTGGTCCTTTTTCAAAGAAAAAGTTAGTCATTACATTTGGTGGATCAATTGAATCTGGTATGAACATCTCCAATGCCTAAAGGAATACAAAGATGATGCTAGCATTCACAATCCAAATCAAGTCCCTGGTCACACTCACACATGAAATATCACAACCTCAGTCTATTCCCTGAAATGACCATGCAAAGTTTAGGTCATGAATCAAAATTGAGTCCAGCACAACGGTTGAAACTCTTCATTAGTACTTTCTCTGGCTAATTCTGCCTTGAGAAGAGAAGCTAGGAGCCACTGTCAATGCGGTCGGCACACGTTTGCTGTCTGATGAATAAGGCTGGTGCTGGGTTTGCATCATTGGGGGTGCTCGCTCCGATATGCGCCACATCTTCACGGACTTGTCTAGGCTACCACTGTAAAGAATCCACCGCTTTTCCCCAGATGCTGATTCATGATCTCTTTCTATCGCCAAGCACTTGACAGGGCCGCTATGGCCTGTTAACATTGACAAGCACAAATGCTCGCTCCCTGATCTTTTCCATACGGAAATTCCCATATCAGCTGATCCACTGATTACAAGGTTCCCAGCTGCTACCAAGCACAGAATAGCCAGCTTATGGCCTCTCAAAACGCCACCGTGAGAGAGATGGTTTTCACGTTCCCAAAAGTTGACCAGCCCATCCGATGAGCCACAATAAACAAACGTAGCTTCAGGATTCACTGCTAATGCTGTAATAGCGCATTCTTGCTTCAACAATGTCTGCGAAAAGAAATGCTTAGTTCCTTTTCCTTGCAATTCTCTTCTCCAAACCTTGACTGTTCCATCAGCTGAACCTGTAAACACCAGCCCATCAAACCCTGCAACAACAGAATTAACCGCATCATCATGAGATTGAATGGATTCTAAACATTTTGAATCCGAAACTCTCCAAACTTTGAAGGTTTTATCCCAAGAAGCCGAGTAAAGCAACGTTTTGTCTTCATTCAAACTAAGACAAGATATAGCATCCAAATGTTTGAGCCATATCGCGCTACGATTTTTTTTCACTTCAATATAACTACTAGGCCTGAGGGAGTTCCTCAAATAGTCTTTCAAAGTTGGTAGCGTCCCAACTCGTTTATGAACACTTGCGTTTTTGTTAGAAATCTTCCAAACTCGAATCTTCCCATCTTGATGACCCGTAAAGATCTTCTCTCCAGCAATGACTATAGTTTTCACCAATCCACTATTCGATTTAAACCCTGAATACTCCTTCTGGTTCCTCCAAACTCTGATGTTCTTGCTATCAGAACCAGTATATAACAAATCCCCAGAGGCCGCCAAGGAATATATATGCCCTTCCTCACGTACCAAAGACCCCATCAGCACATTAGGAGAGAAGTTGGAGTCTTCGACGGCAGAAGAATTGCAATTGCCAGCTAGGTGAGATGACCATGGAGACTTTTTGAAAGGAGATGATGACGAGTCATTGTAGGGAGAAGCGCCACCGTCGATAGCCATTGAAGAATAATCTTGGCTGCTGTTTTTGGGAGTGTTACTCTTTCGATCCCTGGAATCTTCTTCCGTGGAGACTGAATTCTTTAGCCTACCAAACTTTTGGGCAACAGAGCTGGTTTGCTCCAAGAAAATGCGACCACCCCTTTTTCTACTCCTTATTGATTCCATATAAAAAATGAACAACAATGGTGATAAGCAATCCAACGAAAAGGTAAACCAAAGAACAAGGGAAAACAAGAGATGAAGGATAAATGGAACCAAAGGGAAGCGGAGGAAGATGCGGTTGCCTAAGGAAGAATGAAGAAAACCGAAACTAAAAAGGCTCAAATTAAACAAGGAAGAATTTCGTTTCTCCTTTTTGCCGGGTAGTTTTGATGGATGTTTCGCTGGGGTTGTTTCCATGTTGTCATTTGAGATCGAGTTCGTATATCCAGTTTGGATTATGCCACGTCGATCTGAGAGGACAGGATGACGACCTTGTCTCGGATATCAAGGGCTGTCGTTGAACTATTTTTGGCTGTATTATTCGATAGGAAATTTACGTAAGGTTTTGACGTGGTCTAAAAGGCCGCGAGGTTACTTTCTCTGTTGAGGCTTGTGTCTCTAAGATTGTGGTAAAGAATGTTTTTAGGGGCTAAGACTTTTAGGCGGAGGTTAGCATTAACTCTATTTTTAAGGCAAATAATTCCCAGAATTTAGGGTGAATGTTCGTTTTCCTACATGGATAATTTCAGACAAAAGCTTTAGTTGTTGTCTTCTCGATCACTTCCTTTGACGTGGATTTGATTTTGTTTTTGGATAATTCGTAAATGTCTGAATCTAGGTTTACCCCTTTCTTTTTTAGTCAACATCAAAATATAATCGATTTAGGTTCAAGATTGACTTAATTAAGTATGATTATTTATAGTTAGTTTTAATTTTTAAATTTAAGATAATAACACTAAATTGGATTGAATATATGCATTTTTATATTTGGTGAATATTCCATTAGAAATATATTTGAACGTTTTGGTTAATTTTGAAAACTGTTTTGAGTCAAATAATAAAACACTGACATCGATTCGATTTGTTTGTTAGGTGTTAAGTTAATTTAAGATAAAGTGAGTTGAATTTGTAATATCCAAAATTAATTTAACTCATTTATCCTTCAAATTCTAAAAATGTAGTCTATTCTAAAATTTACAATTTACTCACTTAATTAAGACACAATATTTAAAATAATATTTAAACTATTCAAAAAAATCAATAATTTTTTTATTGATTAAATTAATTTTTTATATTTTTATTTTAAATCAAATAATTATTTATAATTAACAATTGACGAACCATTATTAATCAAAACTCAATTTGTTTTTTTCATACTACGTGATAATAGTATGTCATATTAAATTGTAACATGATATGTCGATGTAATATAATGACATATCAACTTAATATTTTTATACTTCATATCAATGTCATGTTAATTTTACTAATATAAAAATGACATGTATTATTTTAATTAATAATAATTAATTATAAAAATTTATTTGATCGAAAATAAAAATATAAAATTTTTATGGAATATAATAAAAATAAAAATTTATTTAAAATTTTTTAAATAATTATGAGATTTTCTAGGGTATTATGCTTTTGATAAAAACACTTTTTTGTTTTTTTATTTGTTTCTTGAAGGAGCATTTTGTTTTTTGTTTTGCTCTCTCCTTAATTGGTAGAGATTTCCGGTCTTAATTGTCCTGTCTTTGGGCTTACAGGTCTTTCCATATTTGGGTTTTTCTTACCTTTTAGTGGGCCGGACCCAGGAGCATTGAGCGGGCCATACTGAAGTTTGTTTAATGTTTTATTATTATTTTAAAGATGAATAATACGAACACCTTCAGAACAAATTAAGAAAACGTCAACGCACAAGAAAAGGATAAATACCAAATTATTGCTCAGTGCGCAAATATACACACTCTGGTGTGATCGAACTTTCCCGCTCTCGCGGAGCATCTTTTATGAATTTTCCGTTTGTTTCTCGCGAAATTTCTGTTATTTGTGCAATGGAAGAAACGAAGATCAACTTAATCCGCTTCAAGTAACCAAGATTCACACAGAAATGTTTTTCAACAACTTCGTTAAAAGGAGACTCGCGTCTCTACTTCGTCCATGGCTGGAACAAGATCCCGAGCTGGACCTCCAGTTAGGGCTCATCAGTTCCATCGCAATCGCCCAAAACCTCCGTCTCGACACGTCAGCTCTCAACCGCGAGATGGTCGACGGTTCATCTTCTCCCCGGTTCATTTTCAAGGAATTCGTTATCCAAGAGTTCGTCGTTCGATTCTCTAATTGGTCTGCAACCGCCTTCACTTTCGAAGCTCGTGGAATCAAAGTTACATTATCGTATGAGTAAGCCACGTCACTCCATTTCACTTTTTCTTTATTTATTGGATTTTTTTTAAAAACTATGTACATTCTTTTTTTGAAGGGAAATGGAAGAGGAAGGTACTGGAAAGGTGCAGAAATCGAGTAATGCGGCGTTCGAGAGTTTGAAGAGGGATTTATCCATGATCGATCCGGAGGTTATTTTTTATCCTTTTTTGGCGTTATTTTATATAAATTTTAATTGCTTGGAGTTAAATCATGTTTCCAAGTTGCACCAGACATGGCAATGATTTACTGGTCAAACTTCGGTGTTTTACTTTCATGGATTATTAAACTCATCAACGAATTGGTAATAACCACAAATTCCATCTCAGGGAGTGTTAATAGTTGGGATAAAAGTGGTGGAGCAAGTAGCATTGTTAATGTCTTGTTGGTATTGAATTCAATTAAGAATGAGCCTATTATTAGGTGCCGTTATTTCAATTACAAATGGTTTCCTGAAATTTTTTCCTTACTGCATAGTTACTTTTAAAAGTGATAGTTTAAGCATCTCTATACCTCTTTGTGCTCAACTGGGATGATGTATTATTGTATCACTGAATCTCATTGAATTAGAAGATTCTTTTCCTTAGCTCATTTAGGCGTGCCAAGACTTTTTACTGCTTTATTTGGAAAACATGCCCAAAATGACTTTGGCTTTCTTCCTGACCAGGGTAGTGCTCTGCATGATATTCTGGAAGCAATCATGGCAGCTACTTGTCGGAGAAATCGGATTAAGTCTTCTTTTTTGAATCTTCTTCTTCAACATTGCCGCCTACAGATACTTAGCATTAATTTGCAAGTACAAGTCCCTACCTTAAATGAATCCTTTGCATATTTGTTGGAATTAGAGGAGTTCAATGCAGAATCTCTACATTTTGTTCATGGGTGTCTTTGCAGAGGCCTTGCTAATGTACTCTTTCTACCTCTGAAGGAGGGATCTTTGGTTATCAATTGTAGTTGCTTTAAGATTGGGTATAAGGAAAGCAATCAAATTAACCATATTTGTTCCTCTGGGATACTGGCTGCTTGCATCAAATTATACGATTTCAAACTTGTAGAATTCACTCTTCAAATTCCAGAGTTAAGTTTCTTATTTTCCCCAGTTGATTTTCCTGCTTTCATGGCACTTAGTAAAGTGTTCTCAAAAGAATCCAAGCGGGTCAGAAATGGTCGGCATCTATGGAGACTAGCAGCAATCAAAATTGGCCATGTGATTTTGGCTCCCAAATTATCATGGTATAAATTAGTTGGTCTTACTATTCTGTGGCTACATTATGTTAACCATTACGAATATTTGTTGTCTCTAATTCGGTATCGTGCTGATCACTTGTTGGAAAGATCTGATAGTAAGATGCCAAGGGACAGGGTAATTTTGACTTCAGCTAAGCACTATTGGGAGGTGATATGTGACATTGAGAAAGAGCTACCAGCTGAAGCTATTGCGCAGGCTCGAACTATAGCTCGAAATAAAGCTGTGTCAAGTGGTCAACATTCTGAAGATAAGTGCAGAGAACTCTTTGTTAATTCCTGTTTCAAAACCTTTGTTTGGAAAGTTATGCAAAGAATTTTCCGGTCAACAGCATACCTTTTCTATCTCAGGAAATCTTCAACTCAAGATGAACAGTTTGTTGGACACCTGGGAAATGTTTCTGAGAGTTCATATTCACGCCTCCGCTTCATTTTAAGTGTTGGAAAAATTTACATTACCCTTTCCTCAATGAGTGGAGTTCAAACTGTTAGTGAAAAAGTGGAATCACATTTTGGGATCTCATATTCAGATGTTTTTTCATTCCGTTTCTCTATTAAAGTGTTGTTACTAATGTACATAGAAGACATCTTTGAACAGACATTGTCTTTCTCCTGTGGAAAACTGAAAGTCAAGTATTTCATCAGTTCTGTTGGAGGAGCAAAAGAGAGACTTAAGAATTTGAAAAATGTTTTGCACGGTGAGCCTGCAAAAATCTTTCTCCTTTCGGAAAGTAAAAAACCCAATGCTGTCAGTCATGCAGATGGTGGTTATGACCCATGTCTAGAAAATTTTATAGGAGAAATGTGCTTGAATTGGAGAAGAGCTTGCAAGCAATTTGAAGAAAGTGAAATCAAGTGTCCTGAAAATCCACGCCTTCTTTTTGAGATGAAAAGCTTTTTGAGACATCCAGATCTCAAAAATCTGGGTTCCGGGCTTTGGAAATGCAATTTGACAGTGGGAAAGTTCAACATAGCTTTGGGATATTTGTCAATACTATCAGTGGTTATGCTTCTTAGGCAGATACAACATGCGCTAAACTGGACTCAGGGAAATGGGAGGGCCAGGGATCTTTCGTATTCTCCTCGAAGTACTGAGCATCAACCAGATGTTAGTTGGGAAAAAAAATATGAGTGCTATTCTAGTAAAATAAAGATGTGTCTTCTTAGAATGCTTACTGGGAAAGACATTCAAATAGGAGTGCTTGTAGCTGGTCCTCACATCCAATTGTCATCAAGGAAGATCGGAGCAAGGAATGTTAATGAAGGTGTGAACAGCCATGTAGTTAGTGGGAACGATTTTCACCTTGGATTTGATATCTGTGACATTGAAGTTGTTGTTTGGCCAACTTCAAAGTCTGATTTGGCACCAATACACACCTGCACAGAACAGGATGATGAAGATCCTGAGTGCCTCAGGTTGCAGGAGCTTAAGATACTTGATATTCCGAAACTGGAAAATACAAAGTATGCATCTAAGGGTGGGAATTCTCTTCGTTTCTATCTGAGACTCAACGGTTTGCAGGTTTACTTTGAGGATGTGGTAGAAAAACAGAAAAATCAAATATTCATACTGGATCCCTTAACATGTCAGCTATCATCCTTCAGGTAGGGATTTGAGCCTTTTGTTTTCTTATACAAATATTGAAAAGTTAATTTATGGTTGGTTGCTCTGCCTAAACTTAGTAAAATTTTATGGTTGGTTAGTGGAACCTGCTTTTCATTTCTTTTATTGAATATAATTTTAATTTGGTTCTAATTGAGCTTGCAATCATATTTGTTAATTGTTAGATGTTATCAAAGCATTGTGTAGATTTTGAAGTTACTTTCACTTTTTCTAGAGTGTATATTCAGCTGACCCGAACTCTTATGCGGCATTTTGCTAGTCTCTTATGAAACATTGTTAATAAATATAATAAGATACTGTTTTCTTATTCAATTTTAATGTAAATGATTAAATGGTGCTTATTTTATTTATCTACTGAATGATGCATAATTTCTTTTCCGTAAAAATTTTAATTACTGGAATAACGTTTTTTATGCTGAGATTATTGGATTCGTTTCTCTTAATTGAAAATTTTACATTGTTTTTTTGAACTGTGGCAAGTTTGTAGAATATGCTTCCGATTGACCAATCTTTATCTCTTGCTTTAAACAAAAAGATTTATAAAAGCCTTGTGATTCTTAACTGAGATGACATGTACTTGACTAATGATTTATTTCTTCCCGTCCTTCTTTCTCTCTGTCTCTCCCCATATATATAATGTATGTGAATTGTGTTTCCTGTCTTCTTTCTGTTATCCCTCTCTTAACACCACCAATTTAATTATTTGTATGTTATGCAATCCTTTAATTCTATCATAGATCATGGTCCTCACTTTGTTTAGAAGTTTTTGATGACAAAGAATTATGTATCTGTCACAGGGAGTGTGTACATTCGTTTAGCACAACCTCTATTGCTTTTTCAACGGCTTTTTATGGGCTGGCCATGGGATTTACTATATTATTATTTTTTGATGAGTTGTATGCTCGCGTTCAGGTGATTTCCTTTCAACTTTTGTTGTCTAATTAGCTTGGACTGTCTTATTATTTTTGAGCTTGCATTAATTTCTTATGTGATTATGATAATTTTGCTGTTTTTAATCAAAATGCAGGATCATTATTACTACTGAAATTATAACCATTGCAGCATTAGTTATCTTAACTACTCATTAGATGCACTTGAAATAGTTTTTTAGTTGTTTCTGTCTGCTTTCGTTGTCTCTTTTCCTTACGATTCAAGTTAATACCTTCTGATTCCTTTTTGATTCATTTACATGCTTACTTGACCTTATACAAGTTAATGATAATTAAATGTTATTTGTTCCAGGTTCTTACTGGTTTATTTTCTGATTTATCACATCCTTTTCACAACTTTGGCTTTCCTGGTAACAAATCCGTCCATATGTTTAGGAGACAAGATATGGTTTCTGGGGTTACTGAGGATGAGGAGCTGAATACAAAAGCAACACCCTTGATTTATAATAACACGCTGTTTTTAATTAATGGCATCTTTAAACTCAAGTCAGTGGATATCTTTCTCTGTAATTCTGGGATATGCAATAAAGAAAGGAGTTCGAAGATAGGTCTTGACGCTGGTAGTAGTAACAATTCAGCTGCCAATTACTTATCTGATTGCGGTACTTGGATTTCATTCCATCAAATATGTTTTGACATATTGTATGAGGAAAGGAAATTGGAATTACTCATTGATTTATCAGGAATTCAATCTGTGATCGTCAGATACGAGGACTACATGAGAAAAAGTATTAATCGCCCTGCATTTAGAGAGTTTGTGCTTTGTGCAGACAATTGCTTATATGAGGTATCACTTTCTCATTGCATATTTACTTTGTTATTGTGTCTGCCTCAGATTTCCTCATCTTCAACTAGTGTGAGTGAGAGGCTAGATGCTTCTACTTCTGAGGCTAATGCATCATATGCGGTGGTAGATGCCTCTTTTAGCAGTGAACAGGAGCCAAGTTTTCAGTCTCCTGATTTTCTGCAGAAGTTAGGCTTTACTTCGAATATCCAAGTGCCATCTTCAAGCCATCGGATATTCATAAATGTGGTAGTGGCTGAGGTTTTTATGACAAGGTGTTCGGTGAAAGATATTCTGATTGGTGCACAAAAATTCAATAAGCTTCTGTCAGCACTTTATGTTGGGGCAGAATTCCAGACAATTGCTTGGGGAATCCAGGTGCAAATATTGTAGATCATTTATGTTTCCTTTATTTTTCACTTGCTCATACAATAAATGTTGGAACCATTTTTTTTCACTATGCTTTTGGAATAATTAAATATGAGGGATACGGCATGATTTAGCCACCCGATGTTTTGAAATGTACATTTAATCCATTGAAAATTTTATTTGGTTCAATCAAGTTATAAAATACTATTTTCATCTATTTTATAATCTTAACTTGTGATGAATGACACATGATGGGCAGGGAGGTTTTCTTTGCCTTGAAACAACAGCTTTGGCAATGTTTGTGCAGTGTTTTGCTTCCTACATACATCGCATAAAAAATGTAATATGTGTTTTGCAATCAACTGCCAAGCACATGCAAAGAGCTGAACAAGATGATAATCATCCTGTTGGTGGGCATGCCCAAGAGATGCCCCTTACTTCTCAGCAAGGCAAACGGCAACTGCCAGAAGCTTTTAATTTAGATCTTTCTCAATTTTCTCTTGTTCTTGTTGAAAGTGAATCAAGTAAGTATATCCCTTCTTTAGTTGGATGTTTTGATTATCCATATTGCTTTCAATAGTTAGTCCACCTACGCAGGTCCTATTCAGGAATTTTTGTTGGAGCTTGATCTGATTCTGAACCTTGATATGGCAAATATGCAAAGGAAGTTTATGTTTAAGCTTTCTCGGCTATCAATCTTTTCTCAAGTCATTCAACAAAGTGCAGAAGATGAAATCCAAATTCTTCATTTCTCTTCTGCCCAATCAAATGAATTATCATCTCATCTTATATCTAGAGAATCTGCTTTAGCATTTCAGCATGAAGATGGGAGTTGTCTGGTTGATGACAGTTGCTCAAGAGGTCCTGTTTCCCCGGGGGCCTTTTGCTTGCATCATCAGGACTATATCTTGAAGCATCTTACTGCTTCTTTATTAGTTGAGAAGGCCGAAGTTAGTCCTTTGGACCCAAAACAGGTTTGGGTTGGCAGTGGTTCTGTTTCAGGTTTTGATATGACAATTTCGTTGTCAGAACTACAAGTAAGAATTTCTTTATCTTTTCCCATTTCTTCCTTAATTTTCATGCCCTGATGACTTTGTCAGATACCATCATTATAGCATATGCATACCTTGTTTCTGACTATAACCGTGAAGGCTCATGTAACTGGATCTAACTTACTTTGCAACATCAGATGATTCTGTCCATGGTCTCATCCTTCTCTGGGTTATCAGGCAAAGGATTGAGTGGTGAATTTGTGCAAAGGAATTGGTCTTATAACCAACAAGATGACAACAACTTTGAGGCGAGGATTCCTGATGGTATTTTATTTTCCAATGATTTTTGTCTGTTGTTTGCAAGTTTTGATGAACCTGTACTGAACATTACTCATGATATACCCAGGAGCAATTGTTGCTATTCAAGACGTACACCAGCATCTGTACTTTATGGTTGAAGGTGGAGAAAATCAGTACTCTATAGGAGGTGCAGTTCATTATTCCCTCGTTGGAGAAAGGGCTCTTTTCAGGGTATATTTCCCACAAACTGGCATTGTTAATGCGAGCTTCTTAAAAGAAAAAAAAAGTTTGTTTGCATGTATTCTATATGAGAAAACCTAGATTTGTACATGCTGGTGTAAAATTCAGGTTACTTTGCCCCTAAAACCTTAAGTTTTAAGAAATTAAGATCTCTAATTTTTCTAATTCTCTTAAAGTATAATGCTTTTTGTGCCAGCCGATGCAGTGCCCCTTCAATTTTATTACTATATTTTTGTTTTATTTTGCTTATTTGTTGTCCCTGTTCGTGCTGCTATTTTGTTGGTATGTGTGAAATGTTATATTTACACTGCTGAGAAATTTGGTTACTGCTATTTGGTATATATAGAGAAGGAAGATGCCTGATCTTATGAATTATTAGATGAATATGCGGGTTAACAGCTCATTCCTCATACCACCTTTGAATAGGCTTTTATTTGTTTTGTCAAGTCTTTCTAATGCCTTAATGATTATATATACTACTGCCATAATATGTACAGGTCAAGTACCAAAAACAAAAATGGAACTCGTCAGCTTTGTGGTTCTCCTTAATATCATTGCATGCTAAGAACAACTCAGGGGAGCCATTGCAATTAAACTCTTATCCAGGATCAGGTTTTGTTGAACTTTCCAGCACCACTAATAATTCTTGGGCACTTTGGAGTATTCTTTCTTGTAAACCAGAGACTTATGAGGGTGACATTGACTGGGAGCCTTACAATCAAGTGCTTAGAAATACTTTTTACCTGGTGAACAAGAAGAATGGATGTGCTGTTGCTTTCAGTGATACGGTTCCAGTGTTTGTCAGGAAGCATGGAAATCCATTCAAGTTCAAAGTGTTTAGTGATATGTCGGTTGCTCAAGATGTTGTGACATATAGTACATACCCTTTGAACTCTTCTGGAACCGAGGTGAATCAAAGTACTCATGGAGATGGAGAGAGTTATTGGCAAAGTCGAAATCTGCCATGCATTGATATTTCTATTGACAAAGTTGCTTTGACTGTTGTCCACAAACTTTCAGATACAAATGACAGGTTTCCTCTTCTTCATGGTTGCATCAATGGGACTCAACTTACTTTACAAATTCTATCCACTAAAGCCAGAGTTATATGCACCTCAAAGGCTTTGCTTCATTACTTTGATGCACAGACAAACTCTTGGTGAGTGTTCTAATCAGAACAGAAAGGAATAGCTAATTATTAAAGCATTTGCCTTTCTCTGAAATTAATTTTCCATTTAAATGTATCTAATAATTCCCCCTTTTGGTTGCAGGAGAGATTTTCTTCGCCCTGTTGAAATATGTATTTTCTATCGTTCTCATTTCCAAAATCCACATGGTGTCCCTGTCCATGTCTACTGCAGAACCAAAGAGGTCCGGAGTTATATATGCCATATAATATTTCTTTTATGGTTCCTTTTACTATTTATAACATTCTTAACAATAATGCTGGGCATATTGGCAGTTGGAAATATCCCTAACTGAGCTTTCGTTGGACATTCTTCTTTTTGTGATTGGGAAATTAAATTTGGCCGGTCCTTTTTCAGTGAGAAGCTCCATGATTCTTGCAAACTGCGGCAAGGTCAGTTTGTTACTCCCATATTTTTATCTCCCTTATTTAACTGACTTAACTGGTAGAACAAATCTCATGCGGATTGATATGTCTGATGCCTCTATCTGATCTATACCTGATGAAAATTTATTCCAAGTCATATGAAAAAGTGATACTGCAAAGAACATCTACAATCCTCATTCCTTGGATCACTAGACTCATACTGTTAAATAATTTTCATGGGTTAAATTCATGCACAGAATGGTAGGGGTAGATGGAAGCATCAGGCTGCCAATTCTGGATGCTGTTGTTTTGATTTTGTTGGATGATGCTTGAGAACTTATTTAGTGTTTTCTGTTTTCATTTTAATATGTAATACCTGATTCTGGGCCAGCCTTAACTGATGTTTTCCACCTGTGCTCCATAGCATTCATCTTCCCTCCTCCTGCCACTTCCTTTCATTTATCCAAGATTGTTGTACCACTGAATCTCGTGGTTACTCAATTTTAACCATTTATATTATGGCAGGTGGAAAACCAGACAGGTTTGAACCTTCTTTGTCACTTTTATGGCAAGCAAAGTGTGACAGTGGGCAGGAAACAGTCTGCTTCCTTTGCTTTAAGGTATCTCCTGGAAATGCACAGGCCATATTTTTCCTGCTTGCGAGTTTTTTGCCTAAATCTTACAGTTGCATTTTTGCGTGACTTTTCAGAAACAAACTTATATTGACAGATGCAAGTAGTTCCTCAAAAGTTAATTTTATTAGTACTATTAATCTTTTTTTTATAGGGTTTTCCATACAAAGCTTATAGATTTATGTATACATGCATCTGTGCCTGTGCATGTAATTTATGCACATATTTGTCTATTGAGGATTTGAGTCAATTTTTTTACTTATTAGTTGATCCTGCTCTACACATGTTTGTAAGGCTCTCAGCTTTTGAAAATCAACCACCAGAAGCGGCAGCAGTTGTTTCAATCCAGCTTTCCCTTCCTGGTTCATTTACAACTTCTCCAATTCATCTTTCTCTCCTAGGAGCTCAAACATTTGCTTGGAGAACACAACTAGTGTCACTTCAAGGTATGTGAATCTGCTACCTTTACTATGCAACTCATTGAAGAGTTTTACTAAGTTGTTTCTCTTGTTTTGAGAAACTTGCGTCAAAAGACTCTAGAAGTAGCATCATAATATGTACCATACTGTGAGGAAATGAAACGTGCTTTTGTCAGTTCAAATTTGCCCACGATATTGAACAATCTAACTACTGAACCTATGAAGCGCCGACACGTCTCAACCCCCTGCATATCAGTGTTGTGTCCATGTCTGACACAGACACGCATCCAATATGTCAGAATACATATTGGACTTAGCGGGATATGGAAAAAAAATTTTAATTCATACACAACAATCGGCAGTAGATTTTAAAAACAAAACCGAGAAAAAGGAGAGGCATTGCCCCTGGTGAAGTGATGCTTATTGTCACTGAAAGGCAAAAAGGAAGAGGAAGAAGAAAAGACGACTCCCCTGCGCTGCTGAAGCATGAAGAAGAATAAGAGAAATTAGGCTTTCCCTTTTAATTATAACTTGGCTTTCCATTCCAATTAGTCTTAGTCTAGCCCAAAAGGCAAAGGATTGTCTCTAGGGCTCTTGTGTAATTGACAATTATATGAGTTTGAGCCTTGAGATAATTTAAAAAAATTTTAATTATTTTTTGATGCAATAAAACTATTTAAAATCAATAGGAAATGTCAAAATTAGTTTAATTGCTTAAAAGATTTTGAAAAAACTGGATTTTTATGGGGAAAAATAAAAATAATTTATATATGGTAGTAAATTAAGTAAATTATAGTCATATATATTTAATTTACTTTTTATTGCTCTATCCTTGTCATGTCGTGTCTTAACTTTTTAGAAAATGCCATGTCACCCTGTCCATATCATGCCATACCGTATCCTGTGTCCATGTCAGTGCTTCATAGCTGCTGACTTAATTGTCACAGATCAGTTGAACTCTAAGAGAATAAAAAGGACAAAGAAAAAGGAATTATTGATCTTGTATCTTACATTTCTAAATAACAATTTTGGCTATGGCAGCTAATCCACATGTGCAACTATGTATGAAATGTTATAAATTTAGGTAATGGATGCTTATACAGTGTCAGTTACCAATATCATTTTTATTAGACTCTGTATAGCACATCCCATTTTCACCTAACTCTGAATTATATATAAAGTCTAATGTGTTACATATGAGAGAGAGAGGGAGAGGGAGAGAGAGAGAGAGAGAGAGGGAGAGAGTTTTGTCCATGTTACTTTGTACAAAAGAAAGCCAGGGAGGAAGTTTTAGTCTTTTTTATTTTATTATTTTTATATACTTTGTAGAGAGGAAAATATCAGGTGAGTTTTCCTTGTGTTATTTTATAAAATTTTAATGGAACTTGTGTTGTGTGTTTGTATGTGCATGAAGAATTGGGGCAACTTGCAGAGGACTATTTCCTATTTGTAACAGTCCATTCTTAATTTAAATATTGAAGGAATTGTTTCCATGTGTTATGTGTCTTCTATAGAGCTTATGTTGGACTTCAAAATCTTTGGGAAGACATTGTTTTACTAGAGTGGGCTTATTGATATGTGGGGTTTGACTCTTACTCTGCTTTTATTGGTGATAAACAATCCATGGAATTTGGTGGTTTATTACCAAGCCAGGTTCTAATTAATGGCATGCCATGTTGGTTTGATGACACACCAAAGTGCACTATGGTTGGCAGCGGATTCCTCTGCAGACCACTGCCTGTACTTTTTAATGGGTTATTTGGGGGGTAAAAGAAGGCTGAAATTTCTGGGAGAATAATATATTTGCACTACAGCAAAGTGACGTGAGTTATGTTTTCAAGGTTCTTGGAGCTTTAAACATTCTAAACAACCTAAGATGACATATTTTGACTTTTTGGTTCAAAATAGACCTGTAATACATCTGGCAGCAGAGGTTTTGAGCACCTTGGCATGCGCATCTCTAAAATATCCAGAAGGTTGGTATTTTGAGCCAAAATTGGAAAAACAGTCAATTAAGGAGCTGCATTTCTAAGATAGAAACTGAGTCAAGCTGTGCAAGGCTGGTATGAGGAAATAGGTCGATTTTATTAGGTTGAAGTTATTATTTTTAGGTTGAATTGTTGGTCTTTTCATCGTTTTTCATTGCTAAATTTGTAGCTGGGTCTTTCAATATCCTGCTTGCTATCAAAGATGATTTCAAAAAGTTAATTGATTAACCTTTTCTATGGTTCTTACCTGGACTTATCTTTGTTTTGTCCCCTGCTCCCATCTTTGAGCAGATTCAAAATCTTACCCTGGGCCATTTGTTGTGGTTGACGTTTCTAGGAAATCTGAGGTATTTGCCAAAATTTGTATTCTCACTGTTACATATGCACAAAGAGATGGAGATATATTTGCTTTTATTGTAACATTCTTTGTTGTTCTTTCTTGACATTGATGATAATTTGTAGGATGGTTTGTCAATATCAGTTTCTCCATTAATCAGAATACACAATGAAACTAAATTCTCTATTGAGCTACGAATTAGTCGACCGGAACCAATGGAAGATGAATTTGCATCTGTGTCATTGAAGGCTGGTGATACATTTGATGACGCCATGGCATCATTTGATGCTATAAATTTCTCTGGTGGATTTAGAAAAGCGGTGATGTCATTAAATGTTGGTATGTGTTACTGACACTGCTGCTTAAATTTAATTTCTTACTATCCTTTAATTTTCCTCTGATTGTTGTGGGCTATCTTCCTCATCTGTTGTATTAGTATCCATGCTTATGCTCTTACAGTGTGTATTATCACCTTGGAAGGATTTGGATGTGGTGTGGTAGTATGTTTCCACCAGAGCTCATCATGTGTCTGCAGAAGTTATTCAATAACAGATGTTCATTTTCTTACACATGCATTTGGGAAGTGTCATTAATTTGATTGAAGCTTTAAATGAATTGAACATTTTAATGTAGGCATAATCTTAAATAAGAAAGTATTAATCCACATTGTGTTCTACTGCCATGCCATGTTGATTTATTCTCTCTAGTCGGTTAGCCCTGCCACTTTAACTGTTCAAATACTTATATGTTTTCCCCCTTTGGTGGTATAAGTGGGGCTTCGGTACAGGACTCCCTTTTTGGCATTAAGAGGAGTCAGATGACTAGGCTATTTGGGACCTTATGTGACAATGGACTTGATACAATGTTTTCTTGTGCAAAGTTTGCTGCAGTACGATGTGTTCTATGTACCATGTGATATTATAGTGGATGAAATATGAGGCAAAACTCAAAAGTTATGCCCTAGGGTGTACCTTTTTTTCCCTTTAATTTAGAAATTGAAAGGTTGTTATGTGGAAAATAGAAAAAAGCTTGTGGATATAAAGGAGCTCACATTCAAGGTTATTAGATTTTGGCAATCTTTTTGTACTATATATCTAGATAACTAGCCTTTGCAACAAATTCTAAATTTCGACTAGCTGAAATTGCCTTATTTATCAGGGGGTTACTCAACCAGAATAAAACTGTGACTGTAAATACTTAAAAGTAGTTGTCTGTATCTGACCAAATGGTAAAGTGCATGTATCCAGCTCAAAGAGTCAGGTCTGAATCCCCCTTTCCCAACAATCCTATCTTATAAAAAAGGTAGTTGTTTGTATTCCAGATTTCTTTGTTTTCCTCAGAATAAATTACTTGTAATGAAGATGACAATGTCCAACTTACAATTTTTAACTTTTTTCTTCCTATTAACTGCCATTACTTATTGGCCAAGTATTGTGAAGACAATGATGGTCAGCGTTTTGAGCAAAAGGGAGGAAAAGAAAGAAATGAGGGGGTAGGGGGGGAGAAAGAAACAATCTGCTTGCTTGTCCTTTCTTTGCATCTTGTGTATTTTTTATTTTCAGTTTATAGTCTTCTGAGGTTTGTGTGGTTGGTGATAATGCAGGTAATTTCTTGTTTTCTTTTAGACCTGAAATCTCAAATGACTTGATGCATTCTGATTCTCCGCTTTCAGTCGAGTGGTCAGATGAGATTAAAGGTGGAAAGGCAATTCGTCTTTCTGGAATTTTTGATAAACTAAGCTATAAAGTGCGAAAGGCTTTATCTATTGGATCACTGAAATGTTCCTTTAGCACAACGTACTGTACCATCAAATCTGCAGCTGCACATCTTTCTGACATGCACTTTTTAATTCAAAGCATTGGGAGAGAAGTTCCTATCATGAAACCTGATAAGTCTAAGGATGAGCTTCAGAATAGACATGAACCAATTTCACTACAGGAGGAGAAGGAAGTTTTTATTCTCCCCACTGTGCGGGTGACCAATCTTCTGCATTCAGAAATACACGTGCTTTTGACTGAGACAAGTAAGACCTGCAAATTTTTGAACAATAAAGTAATTCTGTTCTTTTAACTCTTTTAACGTCCATCTTGTTGCAGATTTATGTACCCCTACTGGCCATGATAACATTGGGAAGGAGGCAACTCTACCTTGCGGATCAACTGTCGACTTTTATGCTAATCCTGCCATAATGTACCTATTTGTTACTTTGACTGCTTTTGGTTCAACATGTAAACCAGTAAACAGTGGTGAATGGATCAAAAAGTTACTGAAGCATAAGAATGATGTTCCTTGCTTGGACATTGACCTGGATTTTGGTGGTGGAAAGTACTTTGCATCTCTAAGACTATCCCGTGGATACAATGGCATATTAGAGGTTGTATTCAAATGTGGTATCTCCTAAATTTTTCTTGATGTATATATTGTCTAAGGGGCATATTCCATGAATTTTGTTTTCAATTATGTTTGGTTTTGTGTGATGTAGAAGTTCCAGTGGATGTTTGTTAGCTGAATTATGTATCTGTTGCAGGTCACTGTCTATACACCGTATACCCTGAAAAATGATAGCGATATTTCTCTTTTCTTCTCTGCTCCTGGTCAGAAGCCTTCTTTTAGGTAGTTTCTATCTGTGAAATTTGTTAGCAAATTCTTTACGCTCTGGTTTGTGACTGTACTTAAGTACTTGAGGACCATAAATATCTGCAGAAATGAAATGGGGAGCGTTGGTCCTGAATTCGGTTTAGTTTTGCCTCCAAAGTCAACAGGGTCATGGTTTCTGAAGTAAGAAAAATTTATTTAGAACAATTGTATTAGGGTAGAAAGTTCATTATCTACCTTTGTGATCAAAGAATCTTTTGATATTATGAGTTTCTCTGTTTCTTATAAACATTTTACGGACCTGCTGTTGCCAGATCTCGTAAGATGCATCTCAGATTATTAGAAGATCATGCTTCTGAGACACAGATTGATTTAGATGCTCTATCTGGCCCTACGGAGGTAAGCTTGGAGATAGAGGAAAGATCTGGAGTGAAATATATTGCAAAGTTTGGGGTATCCATGGGGCCCACATTGAGTAGAGTTGCACCGTCACAAATGATAACTATGGCTCCAAGGCATGTTGTGCTGAATGAGTCAGAGGAAACTATCACTGTTCGTCAGTGTAATTTGGAGGTTTGTATCTACCAATATAGGATTTAGTTTTCCTTTTATGTATTTCAAGTTCTTACTTCCTGTGTTCTTCCCCTTTTTGGTGTGTGGGTGTGAAGGTTGACATAGATGGCATGATTTCCATCAACAGTAGACAGAGAAGAACACTGTGGTTGCAGACTGAAATGAGCAAAAGGAGAGAATACAGTTTATTTGAGAATTTCATCAAAAAGCATAGAAATGATAGTGATAGTTCTTTAATATATATTCAGTTTCGGTTGAATGAGTCTCAATTGGACTGGTCAGGACCATTATGCATCACTTCATTAGGATGCTTTTTCCTAAAATTCAGAAAACAGTCGAATCAGTTGACAATAGAAGACAAAAAGATTGTAGAATTTGCAGCAGTTCATGTAGTAGAAGAGGGTTCTACTATTGTAGTGCGCTTCCAGAAGCCACCAAATGCCAAACTACCATATCGGATTGAGAATCATCTGCGTGGTGTATCTCTTACTTACTTTCAAAAGGTTGTGTTTTTATGCCTTGTTACTTATTTTCGTCTCTAATTAAAGGATGCGCAATTGAGGTATTCTATATGAATTAATTTGTTTCTATAATTTATCGTTGGAGAATTTCCCAGAATTCATCAGAGCCGGAGTTCCTTGGATCTGAATGCAGTGTTGATTATACCTGGGATGATGTTACTCTTCCTCATAAACTTCTTGTTGTAATAAATGGTAATCACTTACCTCTCATTACTCCACACTTGCATTGCATGTATTTTCGTAGTAATTTATGCTGTAACCAAAATTAGACATTTGAACTTGAAGAATGGAACATTCAAACTCCCTTGTGGAACATGTTTGGATTTATCATATGTGCTATTGCTGCCTATGCATATGAGCTTGGGCACATTTGAATTTGCCTGAGCGTGGAGTACTCACTGTGGGTGCACATATGTACATTCTCTTCTTTTCTCTCCTTTTTATCTGACTGATATGCAATTTATTTTCTTTACTTTTAGTTTGTTCTTTGGGCAATCATCATGATGGTTGCAAACCTGTATGTCACACGATCTAGCAGGCTCAACAGTTAGAACAATATAGAAATAATTGGAGGACTGCTCTTTATGCTTCAAGATTCGTGATTTGTGTGTACAGGGGTTTAATGTGGTCTTAGTTTCAGCCTTGCCCATGGTGGTATTTGGTGCCTAGGGACCACCTTGATTTGGGTGGAGAACAAGCGGTTTGGGTCTTTGTAAATCTGGGAGTTTTGAATTTTGTTGTTCTTGATTTTTGGCTTGGTGCAGCAATAGAAGGAAACAGGCACGCTGGTTATGTTTCCTTGTCTTACTGACTTCTTCTTTGGTTTTATATTTTGGGCTGGTGGGGATGTGTTGGCTAAGGGGCTACACGTAAATGCTAGGATGAATGGTTTAACGGGCAAGGTTTCTTTGTCTGGTATTTCTGTCTACCAGTTTGTCATCAGAGGGTAAAGACAGGTGCTCTTTCCAGTCTTTGACCCTCATCTGTTTGTATATGGACTTCCTTTATTTATGAATGAACTCTTAACTTTCAAAAAAAAGAAATAATTGGTGGACTGCCCTTTCAATGAGGCATTGAATGGTACAGCTGCTTAGTGAATCTGAATAGACATTCCCATCCCTGACAATGTAACGTATGATTTATAGCCCAAGCACAATGTGGGATAAAATCTTACTAGAATGCAGAAGTATCCTCCAGTGACATTAACACCTGTGTCTCTGCGGAGGTGTGGATTACAAATTGTCATGCATAAATCCTTTATCCTTGTACCATTCTCACTTTAACCAAACAAATCCTCAAACCACACCAGGGTCTTATAGATTTTTGCTGAGCACCCACCTACAATTTCTTAACTAGGATGATGCAGGAAACATTTGACACCAGTTTGGCAACCTTTGAAGAGTTTGTCACGATTTCTATGAATATCTGCGATAATGGTTTGTTTGTTTGTATTAACCATTATCCATTTTTAACAGGAGTGCTTGGGAAAGGAAGAACGTTTATTATACTTCACGTTTGAATACCTGTTTAATTTGTTTGATATGAACTTATATTACTACTGGCCAAGTCACTATTAGGGCAATCATTGACAGAATTTGGGAAGACAGGAGATATAGGATGATGTTTAAGAAAAAAAGTAGTACTCAAGGCCTGGCAAATCAGTTACCGCTTTCTTAGAAACCAATTTTGTTGACCACCTGGATACTTGTAAGTCGGTATACTTATTTATGGAATGTTAATACCTTGTTCAGATAATAGACAAACCTTTTAAGGTTACTGGCTAGCTATTGATAAATTTCATATTTAAAATTTATTCTTTATTTGTTAGATGCTTTTTATTTTGCTATGTGTTTCTCTTAGACATGGAGCATGATTTTGATAATAAAACAATTAAAGGGTTTGATAGAGAATTGTGTCAAAATGTGTTGATCTTTTCTTGCATTTCATGAATGAGAATTCTATTTTGATCTTTTATCCCTATGTTCTCTCTGTTGTGTGCCTTAATTTTGTCCTGCAGACAGGGACATGCAACAAGAATGAGGACATTTTTTGAAGTCTCCAATGCTCTGCTTATCAAACTCAGAAAGTGTTTTGAGTTTTATATTTTCTTGTCCATGTCTTTAGTTAGAGTGGAAGTGTTCATTTAGTGTAGCAAATTTACTTTTGGAGAATTATCCAAGCAAGCATGTTGCATGAAAATATATTCTTTATAGTTTCTTTAGAATTGAACTATGCATTTCCTGCTTGAATTATCTAAGAATACCTGTTACACAAAGATACATTAGCTCTAAGCTGCTAACACGTTGAGCAAAGTACTGATGAAATTACTGGGTATGCTGATACTCCTTGTAGATATGAATCTGCCACGTGAAATCAACTTAGACAAAGTGCGGACATGGAAGCCCTTTTACAAACTTACACAAGAAAGGTTAGGATCTCATATGCTTTTGGACAAAAAATTCAAGGGCAGGAGAAGTAATTTTGGTGACCTTAAGGGCATGAATGCTGTAAAGGTGGGGTATGAAATATATGCAGATGGTCCCACACGGGTTTTACGGATTTGTGAGTTTTCAGATATTCATAAGCAAAACAAAGCTTCTCACTCAAGTGCAAAGATCCGAATGAGAGTGTCCCAGTTTGCTATCCAATTGCTTGAACAAGGAAAAGAGGTCTCTCTCTCTTCCCTCTCTCTTTTGGAGATAGTTTCATTCCTTCATTGTTTGAAACTCATGAAACTTAAAAAGGGATTTTGCAATATGTTGAGGTTTGCAGGGGTTATGCTTATGGTTTTATTTGTAGAGGAGATCATGCTTAACTGCTTATTGTCCTGCTTTCCCCAAACTAAACAATGCCTTCTAGGCCTTCATGACTAAATTTAAGAAGCTTTCCTTTAACCTGAAGTTGCGCAATCATGAGGCCTTGTTGAACTGTGACCCACCAGGATTAAGATTCTAAATAGGGAACTAACTACTTAATGTGTAAAAACCTCTATTACACCTAAAGAGAACATATGTAACTCTTAGAGACTGTATAAACCCTGGATTGACTGAATTGCCAAAAATTATGGTTTTGCTACTGATTGAAAATCCTTAAATGTAAATTTTCGTGGCATGTATAGCTTGTTCTTCCTTTGCTGCATAATACTTTTTCATCCTAGGATGATTAATGAAGTAAATAACCTTCAGTGCAACAGAACTATTGCAAGAGACTACATGATGGTATTAAATAGTAAAAATTGGAATTTGATTATTTGATCTTATTGTGTATTTATCAGTTGTTTGATGAAGTGCATCTTGATGATACCAGTTTGTTCATCTAATTGTCTTTATTTGATGTTATAATTTTGTCAAGGATTTAAACCAGAGTTCAACACCATCTTATACACCAGTTGTAGTTGCAAGGCTTCAGAATATTTGTCTGGATTCTGTCTTCACTGACCAACAGAAATATAACCAGATCGTTGTACAGGTAACAATGTTTCCCTGCGTTTGATGCCTTAGTAGGTGTTAATGCTTTATATGGATATTTACATTTTCTCTTGTGGAATACTAATAGCCCCTTGATTAAACCCTCAATGTAGTCATTGAATGTTGATGTGAAGTGGACGGGAGCACCTTTTGTATCAATGCTTCGTGGACATCAGTTAGACTACAGTGATGCGAATGATAGCATACTCAAAATTGTATTTGTCCTACTTTCAGCAGGAACTGATGTTAAACAAGTAAAATATTCATCTGTCATTTTGCAGGTATAATGAGGCACCTAATGTCTAGCTTTTTGGATGTCTCCTGAACTTATATAGCTTTTGTTCCCTTTGTTTGCATTTGCTTTTAGAAACTATTGAGAACTGCTGGATAATTGATGATAGCTTAGTTTTGAAGGAGCTATTTACTTCCATGCAATGAGTACAGCAGCTCTAATGTTGCTTTCTCTTACACAGCCAATTGATTTGAATGTTGATGAGGATACTTTGATGAAAATTGTCTCATTTTGGAGAAGATCTCTTAGTGACTCAAATGCTCCAAGTCAGCAGTTCTATTTTGATCATTTTGAGATCCACCCAATAAAGGTACTGTGCTTTCTTCTATTATATCTTGACAGACTGTCTTAAATTACCCCATTTAATTGAAATCTATCTTGTACAAACAGATTATTGCTAGCTTTGTTCCCGGGGAATCCTATTCAAGTTATAATTCAGCCCAGGAAGCTCTGAGATCATTGCTGCATAGTGTGGTAAAGGTGTGACCTGTGTGCTCTGCTCCCTCTTAATATATGCATGACTGATTTCACTCATTCTTAGATAGTGAAACATGCTTTCTTTGCAGTCATGTTGGGTAGGGTCAGTTACTTGTTTTTACCTCTCTTTTTTGCTTCTATAGGTTCCTCCTATAAAAAAGATGGTTGTGGAGCTTAATGGGGTCTCGATTACTCATGCTCTTGTAACAATTCGTGAATTGTTAATAAGATGTGCACAACATTATTCATGGTAAGATCTTCATTTATATTTTGCTTGTTTTGTGATTATATGGTATCCTCACTTACAAATGATATAATCAACCAGGTATACCATGAGGGCCATCTCGATTGCTAAAGGCAGCCAATTGCTGCCCCCAGCATTTGCATCGATATTTGATGACTTAGCTTCATCTTCGCTTGATATCTTTTTTGATCCTTCTCAAGGACTGATGAATATTCCTGGTATCAAATGGGGTATGTTTGCAATGTGGTTTGTTCACTGTAGTCTTCCTTTCCTGTATGGCTTCACTCCACCCTGGAAAAAAGAACATGTTAATAATAGCATCTATAATATTTGTTTTTCATTTTCTGCATGCATGATTTGTTTGGGTGTAGAGAGGGCCATGATCACCAGATTGTAGGCTCATGAACTACACCACTGAAACTGCAGTTGGGAATTTCATTTGCAGTTGTTGGACTAAGAGAAATATAAAAGGTTCATAGTTAGTTCAGGGTCCTTTCGTTTTCCTGTCACAGCTAATTATTTTTAAGACGCTGATAAATGTGTAAACTGAGCATATACTGCAATTAAGTCCACATTCTAATTTCTGATATATTTAAGCTGGTTGTATATTATGCAAGAGTTAGCCTCACAAACAACCCTACCTCTCATCTTGTCAACCATAAGCCTTTTATTATGGTTGTTTGAAAGTTGAGATAGTTTATTTCTGCTTTGGGCATTGTGCACAGGTACCTTCAAATTCATTAGTAAATGTATCCATGGTAAAGGTTTCTCCGGAACAAAACGCTACTTTGGTGATCTGGGCACAACTGTAAGTTTTATATACTCTCAATTAGGGATATGGTTTTTCTGTTTCTTTCTGCAATTAACTAAGCTATTTCTATGCCAACTCTGCAGCTGAGAAAAGCGGGATCTAATGTAGTCTTTGCTGCTGTTACCGAAATATCTGACTCTGTTCTTAAGGGAGCAGAAACAAGTGGCTTTGACGGGATGGTACCAGTCAATCTTTCATTTTGAATATGTTTGCATAACATAACTTTTCTAGTTTATTTTCTAGCTATTATTTAATGATATGAGAATTAAAGTACAAATTTAACTGTTGAAACTGACAGTTGACTGTTCATATTATTTTTAGGTGAGTGGTTTTCACCAAGGAATGTTAAAGTTGGCCATGGAGCCATCAGTCTTGAGTACAGCTTTGATGGGGGGTGGGCCAGAAAGAAAAATCAAGCTTGATAGGAGTCCTGGGGTTGATGAGGTAACACCTTTGTTATTGTATTCTAATGTTAATTCCTTATCTTGTTATTCTGGGTTGACTCACGTCCTTGCCATAATGAATACATTTCATTTATTTCCTTCTTGAATTGACAAATAAAAATAAAGATATAGATGCCAAGTAAAGAGTGGTCAGGTAACTGAGTCCATGAAGCATATTAGCAAACCTTAACAAGACACATAATAAGGGAACCAGTGTTTTATTACATATGTTATTAAGAAGAATCTATATTGTTCTGCTGGAATTCAGATTGTTATTGCTTTGCTTTATGGCTGTGGGGCTGCTGATTCTGCTGGACTTATTAACAATTTTTTTCTATTGATTCTTCTTTTGCTTTAATAGACACTGATAAATTTTGGACTTCTGCAGCTGTACATTGAAGGATACTTACAAGCTATGTTGGACACAATGTACAGGCAAGAATATCTTAGAGTCAGAGTAGTCGATGATCAGGTAACTGGTTAAGTGGGGAGAAAAATCATTTCTGCAACAAAGTTTTTTTATTTATTTGAGATTGAGAGAGCAGTTAATGGGACATCCAATCTACATGGATCTTTCAGAATTATTATATCACTTCTAACAAAATGTTCCTCTGAATTTACCTTGCTTTCAAGGACAAATTTTGGCTGCCCCAGTCATCCCATCCCACCTCCATGTTTAGAATCTTGCTTCACCTTATTGACTTATTGTGTCTCAACTATGCTCTGACTAATGTATTTCTATATTTAGGTTATCCTTAAGAACCTACCTCCTAGCAAATCCCTCACAAATGAGATCATGGATCGAGTAAAGGGGTTTCTTATTAGCAGAGCATTGTTAAAAGGAGATCCTTCAGCAGCTTCTCGCCCCATGCGCAATGTTCAAGGAGAAAGTGTAAGCGTATCCATCAATTTAATGTGCCTCTCTATTTTCTTTTCCTGCTTTGAAGGTGCTTCAACAAATGGTGTTATATGTAAGCATAAATTGTTTAATGAGAATAATAATGTTATCAGTCTTTGCTCAAGTTTTCATACATATGGAACACTGTGACAAGATGTGAGAGTCAAGATTAAATCGTCAATAGAAGTTGGTGATAATTTAGTCATCCGTATTCTTGTTAATATTAGTTACCTATAGGTGTATGATCAGATGCATACCTGCCCATGGTAGATGCCCAATCCACTGCCTTAATCCGCGTCGCTATATCCCCTCTACTACTCCTTTTTCTAGTATTTAAAAAATTTAGACATAATACTCAAATTAAGTCTTTGAACTATTTAAGAAAATTCAATTAAGTCTTTATTCTTTTATTACATTCAATCAAGCTTTTATATTTTTATTTTTAGTTAAATAAATTTTTATGATTAATAGTTGATTAACTGTAATTAGTTAAATTGTCACTTATCATTACTTATTAATCAATTGTTAATTATAAAGATTTATTTGACTTAAAATAAAAATACAGAGATTTGATCGAATAAAAATTTACTTAAATTTTCTTGAATGGTTTCAGAGTTTTTTAAAATTTTATAGCAAAAATTTAATGAGCACTAGATTTAGCATTAAAATGAAAAATGTAGAATAGATATTTATGTTAGGCTAAATGGTTCGATGGTCGTAGCAACAAATGCCTCTACCTAGCAAACTTGTTCATGTGGAGTCTATATCTATATCAGACCAACGTATTTGTATTTTCCCAACATAATTTCATGCATGTTTTAGTGTCTTTTTGTTATATGTCTCAGTACGCTAATGTTTTAAAAATATTTGGGCACTTTTTGGTTTCTGCATCATCCCTTCTGCAGCTAGTTTACTCTCGTTGTTTATTGTAACAAGGGTTACATGCATATGTGCATTGTTTATCGCCGCACTACTTCGCTCTCTTTCTACTAAAAGTATTAATCATAGATAATTCTTATTCCAGGAATGGAGAATTGGACCAACCGTCGTAACATTGTGTGAACACCTCTTTGTGAGTTTTGCAATCCGTAAGTTAAGAAAGCAAGCGGATAAATATATCAGGAGAATCAAGTGGAAGAAAGAGTCAGAGAGTGATGATCTCAAAGCAATTATCCCTGCAAACACAGGGGAAGAGCAAAACGTAAGGTTTGTTTGGAAATGGGGCATTGCCAAATTCCTTCTTTCAGGTATCCTGGCGTATATCGATGGAAGGTTATGTCGATGTATCCCTAGCCCTGTGGCGCGTCGAATTGTGAGTGGCTTTCTATTGAGTTTTCTCGACCAAAATAATGACTGATGAAAACCCTTTATTGTATAGCTAGGCTCATATTCCTTTTTTTTTTAACTCTCTTTTGTATAGCCCTACTTCTCTTAAAATGTTTTATTTACGTGATTCTCCGATATACACAGACATACACGTATACATGCATATGGGCATGAAATGATGATATATAGTTCTACTTTGCATTTGGAAGTAACTGAATCCAACTCAATCTTTGTCTCTAGTATTGTTATTCATAAACATTTTGAACTTTTGAACTCTCTACTGTCTGCACCCATGTCATCATCAATCTCTGCCATTGACGCAATGTTTCAGAGCTTTATTTTTTTATAATTATAATGTTTTCTGGTGAAAATTTTTTAGAATCACCAAACTCATTAGGAATTTTGGTTACTGTAAGTTCATCGTTGTTGGGGAAAGTGTTGAAGATGACAGATAGCGCCATCAAGATTTATGACGCCCCCAGTTTGGTCGAGAAACTACTGGATTTGCCCACTGTTTGTTTTGGCAATTCGGTAATTTCATCTCCGGTCCCCTACTGCTTCAAGCTAGCTTCAAATAATGCTTTTGATTGCAGAAAATTTAACAGTCTTTCTTGAATTTGTCGTGCATTAAGTTATTTTAAATTCTAAGCAATAGACATGTCATGGCTTTAATATTTGGATAGCTCCAACAGTGTTCTGTTGGATAGAAACAAGGTATTAATATACTTTAAAAGAACTTAAAACGAAACCCGCCAACTGTTCACCCATTTTATTTTATTTCTGAATATCTCATTAATTATTACCTTGTTCTTGCACGAATCCATGTGCTTTAACTGCCTCTTTTTCTATTCATGACAAGTGATGGTGGGAGGAAAAAGGGTTTAGATGATTACCTTTTCTTGATCATTAGATCCCCTGTCCCTGTAGTCCACCATAATCAGCAATACTGGAGATTATCTGAATAATTGAAATCAATCCACCCAGGAAAGTAGTAGCTCGTTGAAAAATGAAAAGGAAATCTTAATATATAAACAAAATGGAAATCTTAATAAAATTGAAACATTATCTCTAATAATGTAAAACAATTAAACAAGATATTTCAAATAATCATTTTATACTTATTAAATATTAATTGAAATGTAAACATTCGTTGATTGAGATTTAACAAAAAAATACATATTATGTAAATAAAGGATCACGCATATTAGCTTTTGGATGACAGTAGTCTCAAAGTGTACTTACTAATAGATATTTTATCTCAATTAATTTTTTTCATTAATTAATTATTAATATTTTTATCAATTTATTGACATGATAAAGATAAAAAATAATTTTATTATTTTTTATTAATTAAAAAAGCACCCCATCTACGGTGCTTTTTTTTGTGAGCTTTTTT